ATCGGTACCCTTGGGAGCAGCAGAAAGATGTTCATGACAAAGCAGGATAACAATGATGAAGAAGAGAAGGAATTCAATGCAATAAAACCACCTGGGATTTCTTTACTAGATACTTAGAAATTTCTATTCCAAGCATATGGTCAACTCCCAATTATCACAGTGGGTAGATTATCCATACTGTGAGTTATGCTGGGGTAATTGTTACTCTCAGCCTAGATCTTCTATCTGTCTCTCAATTTCTAGGGACATTCATCAACTGATCGTTTCTGAGTGTTTCCTTTCCACTCCTTTCAGGTACAAGTAACTGCAAGCAGATAGTAGAGCAGAAGGACAAAAAAGCTAGATAAGTGTAGGATGGATGACAGAAAAGGTAACATGGGAGTTCACCAAGATACCTATCCATGCCCTGGCTCATATTAGGCACTCAATAAAAATTTGTTAAATTGAGTGAATGGAGTTGTCAGAAAGTTGCATTAGAAGACTCTTAAGGCCTCTCTTCCTACCCTAATATTCCATGATTCCTCAGAATAAGGTAACAGAAAGCTTGGAGAAACCCAAGGAGATAGATGCTCATACTCAGCAGGAGCAAGAAAGGGAAGTTGGAAAGGACTCATCTCAGGCTGAGATGGATCCCAAAAGCGTAACTGGTACTGTCACAAACACATCACTCCAGGATGATGCTTTGCCCTGGGTGATATCTCAAAACTCCCACCCAGAGTACAAGGGGACAGGAAAGCAGTTCTCTTAGGATTTAAGATGTAGACAAGATCTGAAGTGAAATTCTAGGCCTTAAATTATTTAGGGAACCTGAGAAAGAGAGTGTATGTTGGTGGGGTGGTAATACTGTTTTGAGGTTCTAGATTTTATGATGTATTTTTTCCCAATATCATAGAAACAAAGAATTCAGGGCAGGAAAGCTTCTTAGAAATGATCTAATCCAGCCTCCAATCCACTGGAGGAATCCTTCCTACAGCATCGCTAACAGAAGGTCATCTAGTAGCCAGCAACAGGAAGCTCACTTTCTCCAGAGGCAGCAGCGTTACTGCTGGACAGCTCCTGGGCAGATTGTTTCTCCACTTCAGAGTCCTGATCTCTCTAACTTCTACCCTTTGATTCGACAGAGACCATGCCCGTTCCCTCCTCTTTGGGGCAGCTCTCCTGATACCTGAAGTCAGGAATCACTTTTCTTCCATTTTCACTCCTGCAAGAAAACATCCTTCAGTCCTTCAACTGAAGAGACACAGTTTGTGGATCCCTCGGTGTGCTGCTCTCCTGACAACACTCTAACTCAGCAGTCCCCAACCTTTTTGGCACCAGGGACCGGTTTCATGCAAGACAATTTTTCCATGGAAGGGGGTGGGGGATGGTTTCGGGATGATTCAAGCATATTACATTTATTGTGCACTTTATTGCTATTATTATTACACTGTAATATATAATGAAACAATTATACAACTCACCATAATGCTAACAGGAGGTGGCGCTCAGGCGATAATACGAGCAATGGGGAGCGGCTGTAAATACAGATGGAGCTTCGCTCGCTCACCCGCTGCTCACCTCCTGCTGTGCGGCCTGGTTTCTAACAGGCCACGGGCCAGTAGTGGTTGCGTACCCCTGCTCTAACTGGTCCACGTAGCTCCTCAAAGGGGGTTGGCAGAGTTCAATGCTGCAGAACTGAACGCAGTAGTCCAGACATGACCTGGCCTTCACACAGGATAGCGGGACTATTTCTTCCCATTCATTTCACACAACCATCCTTCCTCCCAGCCCCTCTTGGGTTTTGCTCCCCTTCACTCAGCAGAAACCTTTGCCTTTCTAATCGCTTCCAATCTGCTTTGTCCCATTTTTGCTTAACAAGTCAGAATTAATAAAAGTGTTCTTCTAATCTTTCACTTTCTATTCTAAAGGAAAGATGAGTGTGTATTAGCTGCATGGAGTGATAAACCTACCAGAAAGACAAACATACCCTTCATATTCATAAAGGGTACACTGTGATAATTCATAAATTATCACAACCATCTGTTTAATCACCTATTCTAGAATGGTGCCCAAAATGGCAATCAAGCTGATTGGTTCCTTAGATTCTGGGATCCTCCTTCATCACTTACTGTTCCTATTTGCTTGTCTTCTGCGGGCTGCTTCATCCCCTAGGCTACCAGCACAATTATATACTGTGCTGTTCTTTATGGTCACTGGTTCGGCACTGGGTAGGGAAATACCCAGGTTTTCCCTAACTTTCTCAAAATGTCTGTTCCTGCTCACCATGAATCCTAAATCGGCCTGGCTTATTGAGGCTCTAAATATTTGCTAAATAAATAAATAATAAATAAATTCTTGAATAAATGAATGTCAAATGTCACCCACAGATGATTACACCAGTCTGAGGAGCACACTCCACTCCACAGGAGGCTATCTTTCTAGCTTCCTTGCCCATGACCCAGAATAGGCCATGTCTTCTCATCACTGTCACCTTCCTAGTCTAGCTATTCGTTTTCACAGTATCCTTTCTTTCCCAAAGCCATGGCTAAGCAGAAGAGTGGCAAACACTGCCTGATGCACTAAGTCCTTCAGTTTTCCTCCCCAGACCTCACTGTCTTTGGAACAGCTCTGTCCCAGGTTTTGTTTCAAACAGTCTTCACGTATGAACTTGTGGCCGACAGAATTAGAAAGTGATGGGTGGGCATGACTAGTTGGTAAACTCTTTAGCCTGCCAGGTACGCACACTCCTGGTGAACATAGGCCCCTTGGGAGGGAGGCAGCAGGCAGCCCTGAACAATTCTTCCCACTGAAAGTAGCAACAGGATTCTTGCTTCCCACCTGCCAGAACCTGTGAAGAACCTTTTCTGTTCTCAGGAGCCTGGGAGGCAATGCTTGTGACCACCCACTGGGAAGCAGACAGCCTGCATCTAGTATGTTCCTCCAACGATAACATATTGTTTCTCCTTTTTCATGACCTTCCTCCCAGCCCCTATTGGATTTTGTTCCCCTTCACCCAGCAGAAACCTTTTCCTTTTTAATTGCTTCCAATCTGTTTTGTCTCATCTTTGCTTAACGAGTTAGAATTAAGAAAATGGTCTTCCAATTCTTTCACCTTCTATTCTAAAGAAAAGATGAGTGTGCATTAGCTGCAGGGATGTGATAAACCTACCGGAAAGAAAAACAGAGTCTTCCGGATCCCAAATTTCTTCTGTCTCTAAAAGAACTAAGAGCCTGTCATGGGTCCCCAAAGAAACTTTTCCTATATATCGCTTCAGAAAATGCCTAGTTTTATTCCTGTTAGTAGTATACTCGGGAAAGATGCTTTTAAAAATGCTTAGCCCCTAGATGGCTAAATTGCTAAATTACCCTCATCAATCATGGGTTATTTAATCCAGCTCCTTGCCTCCAAGACAGATGGGAATATTTCTTCTGTATAAAGACCTCTGGGGAAAAACTCTTCTATTCTTCATCCAAGTCTCATGCACTCAAAGTTTAGAAGTTCTTCTTCGGATATAACCTAAGTCCCTTTCATTGGAGCTTAAGACCTTTCATCTTTTTTCAGGTTCCCTCTGGATAGCATAAAGAAAAGAACAACACCATCTGACATCTATTTGTTCACAGCCTTCTGCTCGGAGCTCTTCAGGGCTCCCCATTCTGTTCCACATTCTTCCAAGCATTCGATGATGGCTCCTAAATCCCCTTTTCCACCTGCCCGTCACCATCCACCAACCTCTGTACATGTGTCCCCAACCCCACCGCCACAGCTCTTTCAAATGAAGTGCTGGCCTCGCTTGACACCTGCTTCAAGAACTTAATCAGCACGTTCAACAATTAGCCAAGGTCTCCCCGCAAAGGCAGACGTCCTCTCTGTGATTGACTAATTCCCCTATAAAATGCACAGAGACAAGATGAAGGTTCTAAAGGCCCCAGTCATCACTTCTTATTTACCACAACAAACACTTGACAGGCTCCAACCCCACTAAGAGTCAGAGAACAGAGTTCTCGCTGGCCACGAGCAAGGATGAGGAGAGCACTGGGGCAGGAGTCTGGAGGGTTCTGACCAAGCTCTGCCACTGCCCCACCCCCGTAAGCAACTCTAATCCCATATGGACCCTGTTTCCTAAGCAGAACATGACATGTATTTGCCTGGATTACTTCTCAGGGCTCTGCCGGCTCTCACATTCTATGATTCTCTGACTAGGCAAAGGCCTCTCCTACCCCTTCTTAAAAGATATACACCATGTCCCTGGCATGTCTCCCTCACCACCCTCTGAGGCCAGCACCACCTAGAAACACTCAGAAATCAGTGTTTCTCAACTTTTTTAAAAATCATCCCGTGCCCCAAAAGAGACATTTTATACTTTTTTCCTTAATCACCCACGCCATGAGATTTTAATACTATGAATATATTGTATATATCTGTTTATGTACTATGTGTATAGCTGTGCTTAATACATAAAAGAGTAAGTTTTTTTTTTTTTTGGCCATCCCCAAGAACGAATTCTCATCACCCTTGGAGGCAATATTACCCCCATTGAAAATGCATGACTTAGATTGAGTTTAAGGCTGCCTCTTGAATGATATAAGTGGAGTTATTTGCCCCAAACTCTAAAATCCACAAACATATTCATAAGCCAGAGATTTTAGAAAAAAATCCATTACACAGCCAGAGTGGAATCAGCTGGAATTCCCATTTCCCCAAGGTAAAGAACAGTTTCCCATCGCTGCTCCCAAGGCCACACTGTCACTTCTTCCAGGGCCTGTCCCGGTCCTCTTAGCCTAGGACCTTCACCTCTGCCCACGGTTCCCACATCCAGCTCCCACTCCATCCATATGAATCCCAGCGGTAACAATGGGAATGATGGGAATGAGGTGAACAATGGGTGATGATGTTCCAGAAATAATTAGAATCCATTCCAAGGGCAGAAACAGCCAGGCCCCTGGCAGGGATGGAGGCTCATTCCAACTCACTTGCATCAGTCCAGCCTCCCCCTCCCTCCCCTGCAGGACATTCACCTTACCTTGGCACACTGGCCAGATAGGTCACGAGTTTCCTCAGGTCTTCCTGTCTTATTCTGTCATGATTGCTGCGAGCAGGGAAGGTCAGGATTGGTCCACCTCGCTTATCACGGCCCCCTGCAGGGAGGAAGAGAAGGGAGTTTAAGAAAACCAGCTAGAAACTGAGCTGGAAACAGGCAGAAAGATGGTGCCCAGAGAAATCCAGTCACTGCTTAGGGCAAGGGCAAGGGCATGGGGTTTGGGTGTGGGGAACACGCGTGACCCTGGGCAAGTCTTTTGACTTTTCTGGTGGCTCATCTGCAAAATGCAGATGAAAATAATGATGACTATATTACAGGGTTGCTGCAAGACCTGATAAGATGGCACACGAGGAAGCACTTTGACAAGTAGTCTTCACGAATGTGAGACGATAATGAAGAAAGTGATAACTGCTCGTACTGAGAAAACAAGCCATTAAAAGTGCTATGGTCTTAGGAAATTCAACCTCCAGTTCACTTCTCTTTGCAGACCTCTATGAGCAGGGAGTGCTCAAGATTAACTGAATACCATGGTGAGAAGCCCTGAAAGCATCCAGCAGGGACATCATTGCTGGGAGGTTTTTAGACTCATAGAGAAGACCTAAGTGTGTTCTACACAACCAAGGATCCACCCCTGCCTGCCTGCCTGAGATGCTCCCTGTCACTCCTGCTGGAGGAGCACATGAATCTTTATTGGGAATAGGATGCTCAAGGTCTTAATCGCTGCAAATGCATAGGTACCCACTAGGATTACAAGTGTTTTCTAAATATCAGGTTTTAAAAAAAGCTGGAGGGAGTAACTGAGATGATGATCATTGTTTGCTATCAGAAGGCTGGGATTTTACATGGTTGCTTTTTCCTTCCTCTATTTTCCAAACTTTCTACTCACTATTTATTCTACGATTTAAAAATTTCTTTGTTAATGGATGCTATGATTGGGAAGCAGGACCAAGTTTCTCAGGAAGGCTAGATGAGGACGAAGCTAAGGTGTAGTAACTATGTCCTTACAGGCACTGTCTATTTCACAAAGAAAACTCTGGATCATGATCACAGACGCCCCATCCTGCACACATCTCAGGCTGCCACGCAGCATCCCCCAGAGCAGGGGCCACAAAGGGATCTAGAGCAAGAGGGAGTAAGGGCTGGCATGGCCACCACCAATACTGGAAAAGAGGCTTAAAGCTCAGCGCCCTGAAGAAGGATCTTTTCCAAGGAAAAGCAGAGCCTCCCAGGGACCCACCCAGTATGAGTTCATGAATAATGTTTCCCTCTGATTGTGGGGTCCAGAAACCACAAGACAGAGGGGAGTCTTGACAAATAAAATCCAGTCCGTTCCAGGATACTCCTGAGGAGGAAATAAGGAAGCTGCAAGGAGAAAAGGGTCAAACAAGAGCAGGGCCACTGAGAGAGCTGACACTGAAGAAAAATATATTTCAGCACCACCATCCCTTCCCTGCAGCCCCCCACCAGGGCAGATTTGTGTAGATATACCACAGAGTTTGGCCCTGGCCCCCAACTCCAAACCTTCCAAACCACAGGCTCTGGTTCCATGTACGGATAACCAACCTCATCTCATCTGCCTTGTAAGTGATCCCCATCTCCCAACTGCCTTCCACAGGAGAGAAAGGAAGTGAAGGAATCAAGTTCCCTCAAAGCTGGGAGGTTCTCCCTCACTCTCCACCTTCCCCTCCAGCCTTGAGCTCACCCGAAGGATTTTCACTCTTGGGTGTTTTTTGTCTTTTTAAAATTTGGAGCATAATTGCTTTACAATGTTGTGAATCAGCTATGTGTATACATACATCCCCTCCCTCTTGGACCTCCCTCCCCCCCTTCCCCCACATCTAGGTCATCACAGAGAACGAGCTGAGCTCCCTGTGCCATACAGCAGGTTCCCACTAGCTAGCTATTTTACACATGGTAGTGTATACATGTCAATCCCAATCTCCCAGTTCATCCCCCCTTCCCCTTCCCCCACTGTGTCCACACGTCCGTTCCCTACGTCTGCGTCTGTATTCCTGCCCTGCAGATAGGTTCATCTGTACCTCTTGGGTGGTTTTACCTGCAGCTGTTGTCCTTCTCACTGACCTTCTGTGGATGGTTTAAGAGTAGACCTAAGGGAACATGGGGAACCGAGGCTGGTCTGATGGCAAAGGCTACCTAAGAGGCTTGGAGGGCTGCTGGCACTGTCCCACCTGAGCGGAGCAAGCTATGCCCTGGGAGACAAGGGTTTCATAATGTTGGCTGCAGAAGGTTCCAGATGGCAGGGGAGGGGGTGTGGGGGGAGAAGACCTGGGGAAGTGGAATTCCTTCCCTCCAGGAAGAATGGGTAAAGAATCCAGAGAGGGCTGCATGATCAAGCCAGGTATTTTTCAGAAAGGAGATGAACTTGCAAGTCTGTAGGAAGAAGAGAAGGAACAGGCATAAAGGAAAAGAATCATCACACTGGAAAGAGTGGGGAAAACGGATGGACCAAGGATCCAGAGTAGGTACAAGGGGAGGGGTTCTGCCCCTTTCTCTTTGGCAGACTGATAGAACTCAAAGAGGGAGGAGGAATAAGTTATGGAGAGGGAGAGCTCAGCGGTGCCTGGGGGACACTGTTTTTCTAGGTGAGATAGAGTGTTGAGGGTCAGGGTGGGCTTGAGGTGCTGGGAGAAAGGAGGATGGACCACCGTTGGAGAGTGTCCCTAGAGAATGGACAGCAGGACTGGGTACCATGTGGGTTTAAGAGTAGGTGGCAGGGTACCAGGGCATAGTGAGAGCGCTGTTGAAAGGTCTGGCTGTGGTGTCCATGCTAGGCTCTAACTTGAGCGAAAGCAGTATAGAACTAATGCGTGGGCTAAGTGGGGAGGGCTCAGTGAGGGTAGGAAATGGCCTACTGGTTCATGAGTGCCCAGAGGAGAGGGAACAGCATATATTTTATCTGATATCCATATTCCCACCACCAGCAATGGTGCAAGGTGAGAGGCTAAGGCCACAGACAGACATATCAAGGCTCAAGGTCTCGGATGTGTGTGGCCACGGTAGGGAGGTAGGAGATTTTGGTGCCAAGGAGACTGAGGAGCCATGAAGCTGTAGGATTTGACTGATAACTGACATGAGTGCTGAACTCCCAGAGGGCAATAAGCAGAGACAAAGAATGAGAACCCTTCGCTAAAGCCAGTGTGCACTGTGGAAGTGGACCCCAGATGGTGGGAGACAAAAGAGCCAAGTTTTGAAAAGGCAACAGAGATGGTGGCAGGATCTTCAGCAGCGCCATCCCCCTGCTCACCCAACACCTGCTGTCTGCCTCCTCAGTCGAGGCTTTGGTGCTGGGAGCTATAAGACGGGAACGTAGAGAATAAAGAGGGACGGGGTGGTTAGATGGGCAAGAACCGGCACTGGTGGCCTCCCACAAAGGCCGGGCAGGACGGGGCTGGGGAGGAGGCAAGGCTGAAAGAGGGGAGGTTAAGGCGAACCTGACTGACGTGAGGGAGGATGGCACTCACGTTTTTCAGGGGGAGGCAGGCTCCAACTAGGGTAAGTAGGTTAGGGTACTTTGGGGGGAGGACAAGAAAATACATCTAGGAAATCATACCAAAAGTTTGGCCCATGTAACTACAGTTCTGCAAGATGCTAACGGACACACATGATGTTTTTTTAAGGGAATGCATTATTTGTAGCTTGGGAAACGCTTTCATGTGCTTGAAGGACATGTGCTTTAATGAACATGGCAAATCTCCAACAGGGGGACCATAATTTGGGGCAGCGTTTCCCAAACTTATTTGAGAATAGACCCCTTTTTCATTTTTGAGGATCATCTCATGCGCCTGTTGTTCTGTGGAACATGCTTTGAGACACGGGTCCAGAGTATAAAATTGCACCACAGCAGTGTGGAGTTCCTCTGGGAACATGGGCTTGATGTTGATGGGAGAGAAGGCGGCGGAGAGGGACATCAGGAGGGGGCCAAAAGGAGGGTGTGGGCGCACACAGAGAGCAGGGGTGAAAGGGGCCTGCAGGAGAAGGCTGGATAAAAGGGACAGTGGGCGTTGCAAGTGGGAGGCGGAAGCACACGAAGGAAGCCAGAGAGAGAGCAAAGGGAGAGCCCACGGCTGAGAATACGGAGCAGGATGGGGCAGGGCTGAAACGACAGAGGCCCCGAGCACAGCCACAGATCCCATCTCACACACGTGCACACACCCACGCAGTGGTGGGCTGCCCTGGATTATTCCAAATGCACGTTCCCATGGCAGCGCAACTTCCCCTTCCTCTGGCCATGCTGGGCACCAGCAGGGGAGGGAGCTCAACCAGCACTTCGTTTCTCTGCTCAGCACTTCCCGCAGTGCTTCTGCTCAGAAAGACATGTAACCACTACACTGCATTATTTCTGGGTTTCTTTATTTTGTTTTATTTTTGTGTTCTGTCTTCTAAAAGCTTAGGATACAAGGGCCTTTTTTGGTTCGTTTTTTGTTTTGGGGTTTTTTTTTAGATGCAGCCAGTCATCCCCCAGCACCCTCAGCGTCCTTCCCAGGCACAGAAGGACAATGTTCCCTAAGCCCCAGAGCTCCTGGCACCACGTGCAGATGAATAAGACTTACCCCACACAGAGAACAGACTTGTGGTTGCCAAGGGGGAGGGGGGTAAGGGAGGGATGGATTGGGAGTTTGGGATTAGCAGATGTAAACTATTATATATAGGATGGATAAACAACAAGGTCCTACTGTATAGCACAGGGAACTATATTCAGTATCCTGTGATAAACCATAATGGAAAAGAATATGAAAAAGAATATATATATATATATATAACTGAGTCACTTTGCTGTACAGCAGAAATTAACAGGACATTGTAAATCAACTATACTTCAATTAAAAAAAAAAAAAGACTTATTCCGGGCTGCCTGGCCCACAACGACACATGGGCGTGAGCTGCAATCCCCGGCCCCTTTGGTCCCACTCTGGGAAGCAGCTACTGGCCTCATGCCTAACTAACTGCCTTCCTGGCACATTGTTGCTCTGTACTCCATTAGAACACTCCCTACACTTGGGAAGCTCTTTTCTAGGGCTGGCTGGGCCCTGCCCCAGGGCTCTGACGGAATTCACATGGGAAAAAATAAACCACGAACAGTCAAGCAAGGGTCCCCGTGTCAGAATGTACCCTGTCTGCACTCATATGCCCTGAGCTGATGTGGAACAGAATGGTTCTCAGAGGGTATGCATTAAAGCCAGGAAGGCTGAAATTGAGTTATTTGTAGTGAGGTGGATGGACCTAGAATCTGTCATACAGAGTGAAGTAAGTCAGAACAGGAATAAAGATGCAGACGTAGAGAATGGACTTGAGGACACGTGGAGGGGGAACGGTAAGCTGAGATGAAGTGATACAGTGGCATGGACATATATATACTACCAAATGTAAAATAGATAGCTAGTGGGAAGCAGCCACATGGCACAGGGAGATCAGCTCGGTGCTTTGTGACCACCTAGAGGGGTGGGATAGGGAGGGTAGGAGGGAGACGCAAGTGGGAGGGGATATGGGGATATATGTATAGCTGATTCATTTTGTTATAAAGCAGAAAATAACACACCATTGTAAAGCAATTATACTCCAATAAAGATGTAAAAAAAAAAAAAAAAGCCAGGAAGGCTTCCTAGAGGAGGCAAAGTGGGAACTGACTTGGGACGGAGAGGAAAGGCTCAAACTGGCAGAAGGTGCGGGGAATGCACTGCAGATAGAGGAAGCATCAGGCATAGAGAATGGGAGAATTAGCAGGACACCCAGGGAGAGGGAGGACACCGGGTTAAATAGGTTAAATAGGCTCAAGGCATTAAAGAATAAAAGGAAAATATCTGCTCCGTCTCCCTATAGAGCTGTGGGCCATGTCCTGGGAACCCAGATGATGGGCAACAGCAGAAGTCAGAGGCCTGGTGCTGCCCAGCAGCCCCAGGACTTCTACACAAGGTCTTCCCACATGCTCAGCAAGCACCCAGATCCAAGGCTTTGGAGGCTGGCTTCCATCTCTCCCCATACTGATGTCGCTGCCACGTGATCCTGCCAAGGGACCTGCCTGAGCTTCAGCATCTTCAGTGACAGGGGCTCACCACCTAACAAGATATGCCAGCAACTAACACTAAATGGGGAAAGGAAAGGCAGCTTCCCAGCCACTCTCTCTAACAGCAAAAACAATAGCAAAACACTATATTATTATTACCACTAATAATAATAATAATAATATGGAATGCACTTTGTACCTTTCAAAGGCTTACATACAGAAACAAAGGCTTACATCCAGAAATAAAGGCTCACATCCAGAAATAAAGCCTCAATCCACGAATGTGTATTAAGCACCTGGGTGTATTTCTTAAAATATGATCCTTCGCGGGGCTTCCCTGGTGGCGCAGTGGTTGAGAGTCCGCCTGCCGATGCAGGGGACACGGGTTCGTGCCCCGGTCTGGGAAGATCCCACATGCCGCGGAGCGGCTGGGCCCGTGAGCCATGGCAGCTGAGCCTGCGCGTCCGGAGCCTGTGCTCCGCAATGGGAGAGGCCACAACAGTGAGAGGCCCGCGTACCACAAAAAAAAAAAATATATGATCCTTTGCTATTCTCACACTGCCGTTCCCCCAGCCACTGCCAGAGATTCTAATCCAGGAGGCCTATATTAATGCCCTAGAACTGGCACCCAGAGTGATGCTGGCGCACCTTATAGTTTGGCTTCAATTACATTAGGAGTCACCAAACTTTTTCTTAAAGGGCCACATGGTAAACATTTTAGGCTTGTGGCCATCTGGTCTCTGCTAGAACTACTACTACTCAACTCTGCTGTTACAGTAACAAAGCAGCCATTGACAATACTTGTAAAAAGCTGAATGATGACCCCCAAACATATCAAGTCCTAATCCCTAGAACCTGTAAATGTCACCTTATTTGGAAAAAGAGCTTTTGCAGATAGGGCTCCTAAGATGGGAAGATTATCCTGGAATATCTGAGTGGGCCCTAAGTGCAGTCACAAGTATTGTTATTGTGAGGCATTGGGAGATTTGACACAGACAGAAGAGCAGAAGGCAATACCACCATGGAGGAAGAGATGGGAGTGATGTGGCCACAAACCAAGGGATGCTGGCAGCCCCCAGAAGCTGGAAGGGGCAAGAAACAAATTGTCCCCTAGAGCCTCCTGAAGGAGGACAGCCTGCTGAAACTTTGACTTCAGCCCAATAAACTGATTCTGGACTTCTGGCCTCTGTAACTGTGAGAGAATACATTTCTGTTGCTGTAAGCCACCAAGCTTTGTGGCAACTTGTTACAGCAGCAACAGGAAGCTAATTAATACACTACTAAGTGAATGCACATGGATACGTTCCAGTAAAACTTTATTTACAAAAACAGGTGGCTGGCCTGCAGCAAAACACAGGCTACAGTTTGATAACCCCTGAATTAGACATTAAAGGGACCAGGTGCATAAGCTGGGTTGGAGAGAGAAGTAAGAAATGGGTACTATTCAGAAAAATAAATAAATAGACACAAATAACTCACTTGAGTTCCCTTTGCTGGAAGGAGACAGAAGGAGGAGCAAGAAAAAATGTAAATCTCCTATCCATCCACTCAGAGATGAACCCAAATAAAACCTCTGGGGATGTGTGAAGGGGACAGACCCCTCCAGCTGGAGCATCTCTCAGAGGGGCCTCAGCAGCTCCTGCGGCCCTGACAAGCCTGGGAGGGTGGGGCGGGGTGAGGTGGATGTGTGTGGGTGCAAGATGCGGGGAGGGTACTCACCTTCTGTTGTGAACATTCTCCAGGACACCCAGTGGGGACCAGAGGGCTCCCTGCCCTTTCTGCCTGCCTCTGGAGAGAGGAAGCAGCTGCAGGGGACAGCGTCACTTCCACCACCACTTCTCTCTCACTAGCACACAAAGGAGTGAGTGCCTGCGCACACGCATGCACACAGACACACACACACACACACAACTTCTCTAGGTCCACTATAAAGGAAGCTTTCGTAGACACTCACCAGACACGAAGGCCACTTTTTCCTTTAGGATGGGAAGGACATCAGAAGCTTTCAAACCATCATTCCGAAAAGACCCTGTCAGAGAACAAAACAGAAAGAATAAGGGTGAAAGAGGCCAAATGGCTGAATCCCTCAGTTCCACCCTTAGTTTCCCAACCCCATCATGAGCCAGAAAGTAATGCCTTGCTCAGGCCCCACAGCCCAGCCCAAGAGCAGGAGAGGCTCCACAACAGAAAGGACTCTTCCACGTGATGCCAGGCCATAGGGGTGACCGAGGGTATGGCCCTCCAGGTCCTTTTCAAGGAGAGACCAGTCCAAGTTACCCCCTAAAACACACAAAGCTCCAAGCCCTGGAGCCAACAACTACAGCCCTGTTGCTGTGAACATGAAGATGGGGGCCTTTTAGAAATCATTTTTGCACTTCTAGTGCTAGCACAGTGGCTGATACACAGTAGACACTCAGTAAATATCTGCTGAACAGGTTAATTAACATCAAGATGGACCACAATGCCCTAAATAATTCTTTTTGCCTTTCCTCTATGTGGCACAGCAACTGTGAGTCTTCATTTTACAGATGGGAAAAGTGAAAATCCCCAAGTGACAAGCAAAGTTGAGTGCAAAACCCCTCCCCACCTCTCCTCCCGCCTTTTCAGTATAACCGTCCTCAGTCCACAATAGACAGCTGGTGAGCAATGTCAATCCCATGGGAAGGAAACACCCTCCCTACTTCAGCAACTCTTTCTCTGCCTAAATCTCGCTTCTCAGTTGGAAAGTCCTTTCAGGAGTCCAGTTGAGCTCCTGTTAGAGGGTTGGGGGCAGAGGCCTGGGGCTCACACAGAATGCAAAATAACAATGTGCCCAGAGGAACAGCAGCCTCTGGAGGCAAAGGACAACCCAGCCCCGTGTGCGATGCGTGGGAAGGGAGGACTCAGCTTACACATGCTCACAAAAGCTCCAGGCCAGCCCACTGCACCCCTATCACTTACCCTGAGTACCCCACAAGGACTCTCAGGGAGAGCCAGCCCACACTCAGAGCCCTGCAGGCTGTGATGGAATCTCTGCTGTGTACCGCCTCTAGGGACATGGCTCAGAGGGACCCCGGAAGAGTGGCGGCCCTGTGTCAGCTCAGTGAGAGAGAACCAGGGACCACAGACACCCCTTCTAGTGCCTTTCTCCACTTGGCTTACTCTCTTGTGGTCCCAACCTGACAATTTACAGAGGGGAGAAATGTGCTGGACAGGATGGTCCCACTCAGGGTGTCTCAATCCCTAAAAATTGACTATTTCAAGGATCCAAAATTGTTAGGAATTCTGGCAACGACCTGGGAGTAAGATCACTGGCCTAGGGAAGGGAAATGAGACAGTTGCACACTCAGCCAAAGAGAAGAAGAGACGTATCCCCAGAATGCCAGTTTCCATGGTCAGAGGTCATATCCTAACCCAAAACAAATTTCCGAAGGGCCTCTGACCCTTTCACCTATTTCTTCTTTTTCATTTTTCACTAAATGAAGACAGTGAGGCTTTTTTTCATCAGTTGCTTCTCTTTACAAGCTGGCCCAGAGTAGCTGATGCTGAATTAACCAGCTGCAAGGCTCACTTTGAGAAGAACGTGGGCAATAGAGGAAAAACAATAACACCATAAAAAAGGAAGTTCTAACTATAAGCATGGTTTTGAACTTTCTTAGTTTCTACTGATCTTTATGCTCTGACTTTATCTTCCAACACAGGAAAGCAATTAAACCTCACTAGGATCCACATAAATTATTGTAGAAATTACAAACAGATACATAGGTAAATTTTCTCCATGATGCAATACGAAGTTTCAGATTCCGGAGCAAGGAAGAGTCCTATCAGGCCTTACCAACTAGATAAGGATCATCTTTAATACATGAATTGCTTGAGTAGAATGATGCTTCTGCATGAAAATAGTTTATTTTCATATGTGGACTATGTCTTCCTATACATCAGTTTTAATACACTCTCCTTTACGTCACTATGTACACTATTAATTTCTAGAGAAAAAAATTTTAATAAGAAAAGTTAAACTTCAGTCCTGTCTTCGTCTAGATTATTTACAAGTTTGAAAATAGCAAGACGGAAAGGAATGAGATTTTACTGTATAATAAGAATCCACATAATCCTCTTCTCTCCTAAACTCCTGTCCTGTTTTTTTCCACCGTTCTTCCTCTCTTCTCCTACCACGTTAAAGTATACAAGACGGCTCTAATTCCACACAGTCCCCAGATATTAAGGAAGAGTTTGAAATTTGCTCTAAAAGGAGCAAAAGGTTCCCCATCCTGCCCTCTCCTCACTCCCACCTGTGGAGAGAGAGAGAGGGAATTGGGAATTTCATCCTGCATATCCCACTCGTCATGCCCCACCTCTCTGTTCCCCCCTCTAGACTCCAAGACCTGAGAGAAGGGGAGCAGCTTGTCCAGGCAGCTTGCAATTGTTGGCCCGAGTAAATGTCACTATCTTGGGTTGGGCTGGTCTAAGATTCCCAGCGGGGCTTCCTCTTCTCAGGCCAGAGTCTTCCCTCATCCCGTTCAGACCACAGCTGAGCTATCTCCCAGGTTGTGTGCCCACCATAAGAAAACCTAAAGTGTCCAGATTTACAAAATCCTTAACTAGGGGGATAATCATTTCCAACAGCAACAACAATATTTTTCACATTATAAAAGGATTTGCTCCAGGGTTTCTTCAAATAAAACTTGCCTTAGTGGTTTGAATTAGTTTCTCATTTGCCAATAAATTGAATTACAAATAACTTTTCAATAATGCATTATTATGTAAAGCCAAGTAGAGCTAAACTAATTAGCCCAGCAGCTCAGAAGTTGGTGACCTTGCATAGGAAACCTATTTGCACTGGCTAAAGATTCTATGTGTCAATTCCCCCACCATCCTTGTGAAACCAGCTGTCAGAATCTATAAGAGAGGGGAACTTCACTGAAAGCTAACTCAAACAGGACCAATGAAACAGCAACATGTTTTCACTCCCAGGTACACGTCTGGGCAGACTCATAGTAAATACTCAATAAATATTTGATGCAAGAATAAATACATGAATGAAATGTTAACCCTTCCTAAAGTGACTTGCACAAGGTCAGTGGCCTCATCTGTCACACCAAGTGCTGGTGATCTGAGCAGATGATCTCCAGAGTACCACTCAGCTCTAGTATTCTGAGACTTTTTAAACCCTTTCTTCCTATTTATTGGCCTTTAAGATCTTCAGGTTATCAGATCAATATGCTTTGAAAGAAAGTATTGGGAACCAATTCCCTGGCAAGATTCACTGCAATTTGGGAAGATATAACAACTCTTCCCTGGCCCCCCAGCCCATTCTTTCCCAGGAACCAGTTTAGGGATTGGAATGTTCAGGGCACATCACCCCATTTTGCGGACAGCCCAAGTTACCAAAATGCGAGACTAGTGACGGGAGAACTTCCGGGGGCATACACACCTTGAAGGAGGAAGACATGATGAACTGCAGTTACTCTCTCTGATACAAGGTACATTTGATAGCACTATTAGACTCTAAACCCTAGGCCCCTTGCTACCTCTAAAGAAAGGCTGAGAAGAAATAAAGGTCCCTGTGCCCTTGGGGTTACTGCAGGAAAAGAAAGAACCAGAGGGCTCCCATGGGCCTGGCCCAACATGAATGCTGTGTTTTATCTTAAGGACAAAGGCACACTTCCCCTGTTCAGTGTTAATCCCACCCCATTCACGTCCTGCGGCTGTCAGATTTACAAGCCTGCTGTGCTGTTAATTGGCAAAGCTGAAATGCTCTGCCTCTATTAGGGAAGTAAAAATTACCACCGCCATCTCCCCAGGATCTCCAGCACGGGTCTTCTCCAAGCCCCACTCTTACCTCCTCCTCGCTCCAAACGGGTGATGCTCACAGTGCTGCTGCCTGTTCCTCTTCACATTTTCCTAGTCACTGCTCCGTGGCTGGAAGGTGCCGACCATCCCCACTCTGGCTCCCAGCCTCTGTGTGGCCCCACATGGCAAGAGCAGGACCAGCCCTTGTGTCACAGGCCCTGTCTGTGGTTTTGTGGCTCTGGGATGGCAGTGAGTCTCCCAGGGCAGCTGGGTGCCTTGTCTATGCTAACCTCCTTTAGGATGCAATCATGATTTCAACAAGTGAAGAAGCAAGTAAGTGTTGAGCATTTCGAGGTGCAAGCTGCCAGGGTACCCATGGATTGCTCTTTGTTTCCTTTTGGTTCTCAGTCACACCCCCTTAATTTGCACTTAGTTAGAGGTTATTGTGTAAGTATGCTAATGTTGCATCCAATGGGCCCTAACCCTGTTTTGCCACTGAGACAGCAAATTTCCCAATGCTCAGGTCTCTGCCTCCTCTTTCCACGCCATCCCTGTGGTGTCCAGCATGGGAGCCTTGATCACAGTGGCACTGAAACACTGACTGATCTGCTGTACAAAAGAGCTGAGAATTCCAAGAGCTCAGTAGGCAGAACCTTGGTTTGGGCATTATTTGGACAGTTTCCTATTCCCAGGGTCATTCTTTTATCAATTCTCTATTGAACACCTATTATGTGCTAGGCCTTACGTTAGGCTGTGGTGATACTTTGACAAATAAGAAATGGACGCTGTTCTCCAGGGGTCTTCCAGGCAGAGGTAGATAGGTATGCAGACAGGACAATGAGGTATTATTAGAGATAAGACATCAAGTGTACAGAATGCCAGGGAGCCCAAAGGAAAGGCTTCCTAATGGTGAGTCCTAAATCCTTCCTACTTAAAGTAACAAGCGTCATCTACCACCTTGCTAGCAATGCAGAATCCCAGGCCCCACCCCAGACCTACAAGATCAGAGCTTGTATTTTAACAAGAAACCCAGGTGATGAATATGCATTATGTTTAGGGAAGTGATATACTCTAAAGTATGTCTTTCTATTCCAGAGTTGCTTCAAAGGCAGAGATAGACAAAAGCATCCTTTATCCCAGTCTAAGCAGAACCTCTAAACTCTGACCTAGTGCTGCTGGTCATGACCCCTCCCACTCCCACCATGGGAAGACCCCTCCCCTCTGCCCAGGATTCCAGAGATTCAGCCATTACTCTGT